AAAAAAAAAAAAAAAAAGAGGGTCCTGGCACAGGGAAAAGCCAGGACACTGCAGCCCAGGGGCTTTCCAAATTTTTCATCACAACCTGCAGTGAGAAATATGTTTTATACTCTGATAGAGTATACACGCTCAGGCTTACAGGTACAGCTAAAATAAGCTGCAGAAGCTACCCTTATTACATTAAAGAGCACCTTACTATTTCCGATTCATTTCTTTTTTTTTTTTTTTTTTCCTCCAGAGACAGGATGTCACCCAGGCTGGCGTGCAGTGGCACACTCATGGCTTACTGCAGCCTCAAACCCGTGGGCTCAAATGATCCTCCTGCCTCAGCCTCGTGAGTAGCTGGGACCACAGGCTCATGCCACCATGCTCAGCTAGTTTTTTAATTCTTTGAAAAGATGGGGTCTCATTCTGTTGCTCAGACCGGTCTCAAACTCCTGGGCTCAAACGATACTCCCACTTGGGCCTCCCAGAGTGCTAAGATTGCAGACGTGAGCTACTGTGCTGGACCCTTTTTTTTTCTTTTCTTTTTTTTTTTCTTAATAATGGAGACAGGAAAAAAAATGAGGGAAGAAAATAACAAACCAGCAGCCAACCAATATTTCATTTAAACCTGTAAGTAGGTGTGATGTGGTGCTGATAAGAGTGTATATTTTGTGTATTTAAAGTGGAGAATTCTGTAAGTGTTTATTAAGTTTACTTGTTCCAGATCTGAGTTCAGGTCCTGGATATCCTTGTTAATTTTCTGTCTCATTGATCTGTCTAATATTGATGTTGAAGTCTCCCACTATTATTGTGTGGGAGTCCAAGTCTCTTTATAAGTTTTATGTATCTGGGTGTTCCTGTATTGGGTGCATATATATTCAGGATCATTAGCTCTTCTTGTTGCATTGATCCTTTTACCGTTATGTAATGTCCTCCTTTGCCTCTTTTGATCTTTGTTGCTTTAAAATCTATTTTATCAGAGGCGAGAATTGCAACTCCTGCTTTTTATTTATTTATTTATTTTTGCTCTCCATTTGGTTGGTAAATCTTTCTCCATCCCTTTGTTTTGAGTCTTTGTGTATAGTTGGGTCTGGATGCAGCATACCGATAGGTTTTGGCTGTGTCTTCTGATTTAGTCGAGTTTAGTACTGCCATTTGATGCTAGCTGGCTGTTTTGCCCATTAGTTGATGTAAATTCTTCATTATGTTGATGCTCTTTACTTTTTGGTATATTTTTGGAAAGGCTGATACTGGTTGTTCCTTTCTATGTGTAGTGGTTCTTTCAGAAGCTCTTGTAAAGCAGGCCTGGTGGTGACGAAATCTCTGAGTACTTGCTTGTTCACAAAAGATTTTATTTTTCCTCCACTTATGAAGCTTAGTTTGGCAGGATATGTGATTCTGGGTTGAAAGTTCTTTTCTTTAAGGATGTTGAATATTGGCCCCCACTCTCTTCTGGCTTGTAGGGTTTCTGCTGAGAGATCTGCTGTGAGTCTGATGGGCTTCCCTTTGTGGGTAACCCGACCTTTCTCTCTGGCTGCCCTCAGTATTTTCTCCCTCATTTCAACCCTGGTGAATCTAACGATTATGTGCCTTGAGGTTGGTCTTCTTGAGGAATATCTTTGTGGTGTTTCTCTGTATTACCTGGAGTTGAATATTGTCCTGCCTTGCTAGGTTGGGAAAGTTTTCCTGAAGAACATTTTCCAGCTTGGATTGATTCCCTTCGTCACATTCAGGTACACCTATCAAACGTAGATTAGGTCTTTTCACATAGTCCCACATTTCTTGGAGATTTTGCTCATTCCTTTTTATACTTTTTTCTCTAATCTTCTCGTTTTATTTCATTAAATTGGTCTTCGACCTCTGATATCCTTTCTTCTGCTTGATCAATTCAGCTGTTAAAACTTGTGCATACTTCGCGAAGTTCTCGTGCTGTATTTTTCAGCTCTATTAATTCACTTATATTCCTCTCTAAATTGTCTGTTCTCGTTAGTATTTCATCAAACCTTTTTTCAAAGTTCTTAGTTTCTTTGCATTGGGTTAGAACAATGCAATTCTTTTAACTCACGGAAGTTTCTTATCATCCACCTTTTGAAGCCTGCTTCTGTTAATGGAACACACTTGTTCTCCATCAGGCCTTGTTCCGTTGTTGATGAGGAACTGTGATCCCCTGTAGAGGGAGAGGCATTCTGATTTTGGGTATTCTCAGCCTATTTAGGCTGGTTTCTTCCCTTCATTATAAATTTATCCATCTGTTGTCTTTGTAATTACCGACTTTCTAATTAGGTTTCTGAGTGGATGTCCAACTTGTTGATTCCCAGCGCTGGAATCTGAGCAACCCACTGCGGGTAAAAAAGTGGCATTAAGATTGATGGTGCTTTTCTGACTCTGCACCAAGAACCACGGCACCAAGGCAGTGGCAAAACTGCCTCGCCGGCCACAAGAGTCACGCTGGCAACCTGAAGGGCTCCTCTGCTGGGAATCTCCTGGTCCATGAGCAACAGAAATTCTTCTGAAAGTGTGGCGTCCTCTCGTTCTCTGTGCTTTCACCAGGAGCTACAATCCCGAGGTGCTAGTGATCAGCCATCTTGGATCTCTCTCATATGGATCTCATCCCTTTTTTTTTTTTCAATTGCAATCCTGATTTCATAGGGCACATGGGTCCCAACCCTCAGTTTGGAGAGCCTTGTGTGTGACACACTGAGCGTGTGCATCCCCTCCAAGGCCCAGGACCCTGGGCTGCAGCCATACAGACACAATTGATCAGCACTGTGGCAGGTGCCAGTGCGATGGGCTCTGTGCTGGGGGCTGCAGCTGGGGAGGAGGCCCACTGGATGTGAGTCGGGCATCCAGCGTGCCCACGCCTATAGTGTGTGCAGAGCAACAGCAGCACAGGAAACAGGCAGGAAAGGTACCCCAGGGGTCCTCCTGACCAGCCCTTTGTCTTCGATCTGGTAAGACTGCCCATCAGCTCATGGATTGATGTAGCACTGCTCTGCGTGGGGCCTGGGGACATGGGAGGAACAGGTCAGTCCCTGCCTCTGTGGGGCTCTCATGTCGTATGGCTGCCAGGTTCAGGAGACATGCAGAAAGAGGTCTGGTCCACACCTGGTGGCCAGGGGTGTCCAGGACAAAGGAAGGGTGAATAACGGCACCAGGAAAACACCCTGAGGGTCTGACGTTCACTGGGAGGACGTGGAGGGAGGGAGGAAGGAGACATTCCCAGAAGCACAGAGGGCTGGAGGAACACCAGCTGTGCAGGGAAGTGGGAGTGTGAGCGGAGCAGGCAGCAGGGCTGAGGAGGCTGGACGGAGGAGCTCCAAGTGACTGGGTTTCTGCTCCTTGTCCTGCCAGTGACAAGCAAAGCACAGTCCGCCTCATCAGCCCTGATGTATTTCTTCTGAACTTTCTCATGGTCCAAGGAACTTCCCTCCTGCCTCTATAAATATTATACAGAGGGACTTCACTCCAGACCCTCAGTGCTGAATACAGCGGTGGCTTGCTCTCAGGGTTTGAGGGGGGAACTAAGGCACAGAGCAGG